CACACACACACACACACACACACACACACACACACACACACCAGTCCTTGACACTGTCAGTATGCAGTCTCACCTGTACACAGGTCAGCAATGGACAAAGAATGCCACCACCCTGCCTCTGATCACTCCTGACTTGCCGGGTAAATGTAAGCAAGTACTGTCTTGGTTCGCTCATCTGCAAGACCGGAAAGGTGTGGGACCTCCGTCTGACACTACTGTGGCAAGGGACGATGCCTCACATTCTCTGGGGAGAGGTAGTTCGGAAACTAGTGAGCATACAACCCTGAGTGGCTGCTGCACGGGACACACTCCTGTCGGGCTGCCCCTCACATTGCTGACTTCATAGGCTTTGGTCTCCTGGTCTCCTGACACTCTCACTTGCCTTCCATCTTGTGAAGGAATGAGGCTGCTCTGCAAGACACCAAAGCTAGCAGCGCCAACCCCTTATTGTCACAGCTGGTACTGGAGGACTGGCACTGGCTAGCACGGGTGACAGTCACTGCACCCCAGGTGTGTCTGCACCTCCTGCTTCCCCTTTCAAGTCCTCGCTTCTGTCGCTGCACGCTTGAACTCATCTGCCCACCGCTTCCCTCAGGAACACTGAACAACATTTAAGGATGGTGACAGGAAGAGGAAGGCCACAGTGACAGCATCGAGGCCTGTGGCCGAGGGAAAACTTGCCTCTGCCACCAGGCAGGCTGATCTTGGCCACAGCTGTAGCTATAGCACGCTGGATGCTGACATCACGCTTCATTTTGGTGCGCCTGTCTTTGTAAATGTGCCATCTGCCTTTCCAACCTCCATCCATTCTAATGTGGAACAGGAGCTTTACCAACAGCTTTTGAGACTCCCAAAGGAAAGGAGGGCCAGGAGAGGAGGACCCTGCTTATTTGCCAGGTCAGGGCTAGCCTTTGGGGAGAGGAACAGAATGACTAAATTGAGATCATGTCCAGAAAGAAATCCTCCACGCTGTTGCCTACTAACCCATGCGGACTCAGCAGAGGTGAGACTCCTCCTGAGGACATGGAGGCAGCTTCATGACCTCTCAAGAGAAGCTAACCGTTATCAAACCTTAACTCTGGGTCAAGGCCCTACATACAAGTGGGCAGTGATGGTGCCTGCAAGGAGCCAACACACTTCTGTGAAGGAGGTCTGCTTGGCTGCCCTAAGAGACCCCAGGAAGGGAAGGGCAGCAGTCAGACCAAGAAGAGGAAGGCCAGGGAACGGCAGGGCTCCGGGGTAGGAAGACGAGAGCAGGCAGTATGCTCACCTGAGGAGACAGGGCTTGGGAGAGCCTGCTGTCGAGGGAGGGTGTCGTGTGTAGGCTGGGAAGAGCAGGACTCACTAAGGCCACATCAAGCCACACAACGTCTAGCATCTCGCACTGCTCCTCTAGGCCACAATGGAAAAACAGACCATGGTGCCTTGGACTGTGTATACATGAGGAGGGAACTGAGTTTCTACTTGGTTTTATAGGACTTTTAAGAAGAGCTACTCTCCAGTTGAAGAAAATTAAAATCTACCATACATTCATTCACTAAGACAGTGCAGATCCCTGTCCACGGGGCTGGGCCCAGAGGCCGCAAGAGATGGCCCTCACAGCCAGCCAGGCCAGACACTAATGTGGACTCCCATAAATTCTCACGAGGTAAGTAAACACTCTTCCAACAAGCACCACTTGAGGGTGTGCTCCTGTGGGGGCACTGGCCCACACAGGCATGCACACCGTGAGTATAAGAACACAGAGAGGTGGTGGGGAGACTCCTGCGGGCTATTTTTGCCTGTAGTTTAACACATCTATGCATTACTTTATTGATGGCAAGACAATCACAAATTATTTGACAATATTGAGTATTTCTTATTTCAACACATCGCAGTACTTGTGAATTTCCAAAACTGTTTTCACAATGCAAGTTCCAACTTGAGAGCAGGAAAGACGACAATACACATTGCGCACATGTATCTCTGTGTGAAGATGTGTTTGTGGAAGGTGTATGCACAAGTCTATCTCTATGTATAATTATGTACACACATATAAAAACTAAACACGTGACATTGAAATTACGCTTATACATTGGTCCTTGCCTTCCAGAGGAGGTGCCAGGTGAATTCCTGCTTCCTCCCTTCACCTGAAGACAAATTCCTTTCTAGAGATCAGCCCTGACAATCTCCCAGGCTGAAGCCATGTGGCAAGCCCACTGCACAAACTTCAGTTCTGCCACTTACTGGCTGCCACTTTAGATTATTTTTGGAGAAGTTCTAAAATCCTCTCTAACAATCTTGTTGGAGTTTTGCCCTGTGGAGGAACTCATCCTACCACACCTCAGAAGCTACTGTAGCTCATGTATGACGTACCCTTGGCAGACTGAAGGAAGAACCAAGACCAACTGGGTAGGAAGGGGTATGTTTTCGGTCAGTCCCAGCCCCCTGGCAGGCTTTGAACAGGCCTGGGGTAGAGAATCTGGGTCAATTTGCAATGTCGGCCAAGTTGTATTATGTAGAAGAGAAGGTTCTCTTCAGGGGTTTGACAGGTTCTCAGGATTAAACCGTTCTCAGAAGTCAGTGGGGCAAGGTGGCTCTCTGGGGACAGAGCCCAGTGCTCTGCAGCCTTCTGAAACCCACTTTAGCTCCACTTCCAGGTGCCCACCATGCTGCCACAATATCCACAAAGGTCCATGCACAATGATTTCCACCATACCATGCCAATGGCTGGAAACGGAGAAACCGAGTGTGGTCTTTTCCAAAACACTACTAAGTATTAGCAACCAAGGATCTGAGAATGTGCGTCTTTTGAGGTGGCAGCTCTGCAGACAGTCCTCCTGTCCCCAGCCACAGAGGGGCTGACAGCGTGTGGTACGGGCTCCAGCACCCCTGACATGCCAGGTGGAAGACTTCAGGGTGACATGCTGCCCCACGCCACACGCTGAATTTCTGAGTCAAACCAGCTGAGTGTGCTGCCCACTGGGCAGGTTGGTTAGAACATCTTGGAAGTACACGGGGTACCCCAGTCTATAAGCCACACATCACCACTGCCTGCAGTTGCCAACAGCACCCCATCGTTCCTATGACCCCTGTTCTGCTGGTCACTGGGCAGGCGCCAAGAACACAGGTGCCTGTGCCTTCCACTCCCTTCATGGCTCTTAGAGGGGAAAAGGAGAGGCAGAAGCAGCCCCCAGGGGCCTGCTGCGGGCACCTACCATCCGCAAGGCCTTCGTTTCAGCTCAGGGCCCCGCTAATGCCAATGTCCCGCACTGCCCGTGGAAGGCCCGAGTGCTGCTACCTCTCCAGGGGCTGTTTTGTTCAACCAGTGTTTGATTTAATCATTCGTGGGCCTGGATGGTGGGGCCTGGGTGGTCTGGGCCGGATGGCCTGGCCTGCAACCTAATTATGTTGCTCAGTTAATTGCTTTAATTTATTGGGCTGGGATGGGAGGAAGGCAGAGGCGATGAACAGTTCAAAGAGAATAGGAAGGAGGGGGTGTTTGGAAAAGGTTCTCTGTAAGTTTACAAATATACAAAAACAAAAGCACATCTTTCAAATAAAAATGACTACATTTTTATCTGGCAAAAAGTTGTATACACATGATTTAAATTTTTTTTTTAAATTTTAACAGTTTTTGGCAATCTTAATAAAGTACAATATATTACAACCAAACCAAAAAATAGTTGTTTAAGTAACAGCTGTTAAGAGTGATGTGATCCCTGATGCCCAGCCTCCCTCCCTACCCCACCCTACTCCTAGAGACAGAGAGAAAAGAAAAATCCTCCCATCTTGGTAAACTTGTTTCCCACCCCCATTAGGAAGCTAACCAATAGGAAGCAACACAACAAGCGAGTAGTGTGTAGGACGCCGTGGGTCTGGCTCTGCATTAGCAGGAGCAGCCGCCCTCGCTGGCGGGGGGCTCCTGGGGTTTGTCCAGCTTGATGTCGATCACTGCAGGAGGCTGGGCTAAGGAAGACACTCTCAGAGAGGCTGCTGCGTGCCTCACGCCCCATGCCCTGCCCTGTGACCCCTTAACTGCTGCCCTGTCCCTCCACAAATATTCAGGGACTCGGCTCTCTGTGGGCTCGTGAAGGAAGGGTGTGGTCACCAGCTCCCACTCTCCTTCCCCTATATACCCGATATCACCCAACCCCTGTCCACCCCATGCAAAGCTTACTTATCCTGGGCTGTGGCATGGCATCACCACCAACACCCGGCCAAGGAGCCGCCAACTCAGAAGCCTTCCCTAATGGGCAATGTGCAAAGGCCAGCGCACAGGCACAGCCTCACCCCTATCGCCCCGAAGTCCACTGGACAGGAAACACCCAGCAGGTGGGGCACGGGTGCTCCTATCTCAAAGCACGGGGACGCGAGCCTCACCCTGGTCTGCAGCAAGAACATCAAACGCTCACGCTTTTGTCAGAGATGCCGCTTAATCCCGAGCACGGCCACTGTGAGGAGCCGCATCCACGGTGCCTGAAAAACTGTGTCTCCAGCCTTTTCCACCAGCACCCTTGAGGACTATGGGGCTAAGCTCTAAATGCACAGCCAGACCATGCTATCTCCTCACCAGGCTGAAAGCCCAGACAGATTTAGCCTTGCACCGAGCCACCTTCTAATTGCACTTGAGGACCAAACTCTTGGGTACTGCAAGAAGTCCTTTTCTGCGCTGGGGTTTGGTGCTGAGGTAGGATCTGCGCTAGATGGGGTGGTGGGGAGGGGTGGTGGAACAAGCCCTACTATAGGACTTGATGTTGACATCTCAGGGATATTTTGGTGTCCCCTATTTGAGGATACAGGAGAGATTACTTTGGCTTAAAGTACCATGAAAAGACATGCATCTCCTGAAATCTACATTGTCCCTCCTTGCCTTGGCTGTTAAGAAGCTTAGAACAAGTGTTTTAGCTGCCTCTAAAAGCCACTGAGAAGGGTATGTATATTAGGTATGGCTCTTCTTAATTTCCCCTTCTTGTGTGTGACTTTATCTTGTTTGTGTGCATGTATGTATGTGTACAGATCAGATATACCCACATGCTTTTTATACCATGGTGGAGGATGCATGACTAAGTAGGTAATACCTGCCTTCCTTCCCACCTCCCAATACAGCCCAGCTTGGTCTTCTCCTCTCCAGTCAAATGGTTCTACTTCTCTACTCAAGTGTTTTTGTAAGCAGAATGCCAAGTTGCCCTGTGGCTGTTCTCTGCCAGCTGTAGATCAGTGGGCCCCAAAGCCCCAGTAGACCCCAGTCCCTGACTGTACTTCCGGCCTGGGCACAGGCCTCTCTGGAGCCTCCTGGTCTTCTCCAGGCACTGCCAACCTAGCCCTCTCTTGGCACGGTGGCTTCCCAAAGCTAACTCTGGTGGCACAGTGCCATAACCTGGCACAGATACACCACATCCACAAATTTCCCATCCTGGCACTAAAGCCTTTGCAAGAGTCGGTCGACTCTGGCTCATGAAGCTGCACCCTGAGCTACAGCAACTGGATCTTCCCCTTTACAAACACGTTGTCTGCTTTCCTTTGCTCCTTTGCAGATGCTGTGCACCCCCCTCCCCTCACCCTAGCTCCACTTATAAAACTTGTCCTTGGCCTTTGGTCAGCGCTTATGTATAAGTCCGGCCCCTCTGTGCTGGCACTGCGCTGAGCCCTGTAGATGTGTCACTGCACTTCAACAGACCTTGTGGGGTGATGAGTAAAACTTGCATATCCAGCAAGGAAGCCAAGAAGACTGGATACACAGGCAAAGCCATCTCAGCCCAGAGTTATACTTTTAATTACACTGGGGCTGGGGATCAAACCCACACCTTGAACCCTTGAACAGGGGTTCAAGCACTCACATATGCTAATGACATGCTCTGCCACTGAGCTACACTCCTAGCCTGGTGTTACGCTCTCAGATGACAGGGCCATGCTACATCCCTTTTGTCTTGGTTTCTCAACCTCAGCACTACTGACATTTTGTGCCAGCTAATTCTTTGTTGTGAGGGCTATTCTGTGCAGATAGGAAGTAGCATCTAGTATCTACCCACTAGATTCCATAGCACTTGTTCCCTTCCCCCAAACTCAGGACAATCAAAAATGTCTGCAGAGGTTGCCCAATGTCCTCTGTGGGGAAGGGGGCACTATCAGTTGTGATTGAGAACCATTGGTCTAGCTTAAAACCTGGGCACTGTTACAGCACTGCATTCTGCCTGATATGGAAGTTACCTGACTGTCATTAAGAATAAATCATCACATGCACAACCTGATCCAGAATTCTCCTGTGTACTGTACAACACTTTCAGACCACATCAAAAAACTCCTAGAGAACTTGTTAAAAATACATTTTCCTAGGCCCTGCCTTAGTAGATTTGGGGATGGGCCTAGGATGTGTATTTTTAAAAAGTTCTTTCTTTAGAGAGTCCTAATTCATAAGTACCTAGGAAACAATTCTACAGACACTTCTAGAACAGTAGAGTCCAAAAGAACTTTCTGCAGTGATGGAAATATTTTCTACCTGCACTGTCCAATATGGTAGCCATCAGCAACACGGGCACCGAGTACTTGAAATTTGGCTACTGCAGGTGGAGGACTGAATTTTCAATTGAATCCAATTTTACCTGACTTAAAACACTGGCTGTAGTCTTGGAATGCAGAGGTTTAGATCATACATACTCTATCATGTAGCATCACCTTGTAACATCACACACCACTGACTGACAGTGTTCAAGGGTGATAGTGAAGAACAAGGATGAACAAGTACACTTGGTCTAAAATTCCCCCGGTCTTGAGAGACTTGCTATGTGTCTTCCCTTTGGGCAGAGCAAAGGGAGTCAGCCTTGTCTCTGGCTCACAGACAGCACTCAAGGCCTGCTGCTTCTTCCCTTTGGCTCCTGAAACAATGAGTGGGCCCGGACAGGCAGCTGTGATCTTGCCCAAGTGTCTGGGCATACTAGCAGCTCAGCTCTGCTGTCAGCACAATCCTCTGTCTGGAACATCAAAGCACCCCAGTGCACTGGCAGAGTTCAATGGCTGCAGGACACATATTTGGCTCTGGTTCCAGCTCTGTCAACTAAACCAGCTGGCAGGCCTAGGGTATGCTCTTCCCTGTGTGGGGCATCACTGCCCTTTCTCCTTAGGGCCATTTCATACATGCCTGAGTTATTGCTATTCCTTTGCGTATAAAAGGGCCCAGGGCTCACACCACAGAAGCATATATATATATGCTTTAAGTGCAGTGACACATCTACAGGGCTTAGTGCAGTGCCAGCACAGGTAAAATTGGATTCAATATATATAATACTGCTTGGGCAGAAATCAGGAGAGGGGCCTTGTGTGTGCAGATCCAGCAAGGGCTTGTGGCTCTACCATTCTGTGGTCCCTCAGCACCCTCCAACACACCACCATCTTGAGAGCAGACAGGGAGGCAGGGAGTTGCTGGACAGACAGGCTGGCTGCTGGCCCTGGGGAGGCCTTGTCTTAGGTGTGAAGATGAGATACAACAGCCCCTCACCTGCACCTGAAAGCAGAAGACAGAAACTCCAGGTTCACACACTTGCCCGGCCCTTGGCAGAGCGGATAAGCTCAAGTGCGAACAGCACATACATCACAACATACTGTGTGGTTGGTCCTGATGCTGAACACAATTCCAGACATAACACCAAAGAACTGTGCACGCCTTCAGAACATCTGTTCTGAACCGTCTGTAAACAGCACTGGCCCACCATTCTGGTAAACCACAGTGGCTGCTACCTCTGCCTAGTCCCTTCAGGGGTCTGTTCAACACTGGTCCAGCCCGTCTTGCAGCAGGCTTAGACAGTGGGCTTCTGGAGAGTATGAGGGGAAGCTGGGTCTCCACATGGGGGATCCTGTAGCTGGGGAAGGGACACAGATGACCTTACCCTTATAGTCTATTTGCTATGTGCCCTCTATACCTTTTCTCCCCAAGGGCCCACAGGTCACCCACAGCTGGCTGACATGCTAGGCACACTACAATGAAGATGTGCTAGGTGTCAACCTGGACCCAGAGCCCACCTGACCTGACCGTGGCCCAGCACGGGCCTCTGGGAGGAGGGAACGGAATGGCTACCACCCTCCCCAGGCAGTGGGCCACACCTCTACAGCGGGCAGGGTGAGATCAGGCTGTCTGCAACCCCTCTCCCTCTGACAGGTGTGTGGGCAACACCCACACCTCAATCCCCGCTCCCTTGATCCTGCTCTAATCATGGCCCCGTGGGCTGCTTTCTATATGTTCCTGGCACCGCAGAGGAGGTGTGACAGGTGACACCATGGGGGTTCTCTCCCGAGGTGTGCTGCCCAGCCCTTCCACGGCGAGCTTCAAGGGGTCCCTAACAGCTGCCAAGCCTGTTTCTTCACCTGTAACTGGAGTCCCATGACTGAGCAACCAGGGCACAGTCCTCACACCGATCCCATCAGCCGTGACTCCTGTGGAAACACAACCACTGCCTGAGCTCTGGGGACCGCTGGAGAGCCTGCTTTTTGGGACTTGAGTACGCTCTGAGTCTCCCAGTGTCCCAACCCTGCCCCCCACTCTGGCACAGGCTACATCAGGCAGAGGGGCGCGATGTCCAAGTGTGGCCCGGATGTCATTTCCTTTTGGCTTCCAATATTAAGCCACCTGTTTCAACTTTTACCAGCCTGATGCTGCCCTCTGACTTGCTGTGGGTGTCGCCCTTGGAGACCTGTGAGAACCAGTGGAGGATGCTGGCGAGTGGCTGTGTAGGGACCCTGCCCATTCTGCAAGTACACACGGGGCGGGGGGGCGAGTGCTCAGTCTCCGGGGGCCTTGCTCAAGCAGAGAGTCTGACCAGGTGCAAGCAACAGTTCTCATCCTGTCCTCTTGGATGCCCTCTGAGGAACAGTTTCCTCACACGGAATTGGGCTGGATGAAGAAGCAAGCCCAAGTACGATCCTAACTCCTCAACTGACCCGCTGTGTGTGGGGCAACACCCTTGAACCTCAATTTCAGCACCCAAGTGTAGGCTCAGTTTCAGGTTCCACAGAGCGGCGAGAAGACAGGGCTGTGCGGGGCTGGGAACAGGAGGCAGGCGCGCATGGGAGGGGCCGTAACTCAGGGAGGCACCTGGAACAGACTGAGACACCGGTGCAGTCACAGCCATGGTGCACAAAAGCCTTCCCTGGAGTGGAGAGTCTGCCTTTCCTCATGAAAACTTCAGGCTGTTCACTAGAGAGAGGCACAGCTGCTCCCCCCCAGCCCCGCTGCTGTCCCTCAGTGCTGTGAGGAAGAGGCATAGAGGGCTAGAGCTGGGCAGGACTGCAAGACAGCCCGCTCTAGCTCTAAGTGTGAGTGAATGGCTTCTCTGGCACATTTCTCACTCAGTGACAGAGGAAAAGGATACTCCCTTCTTTGCTTTTCTCCTGGACATTCTCCATGCCGGGCAGAGCTGATGCCACACGTCTGAAGAGCTGCCAAGATGGGGAAGATGCAGCGTGAGCCCAGCTCCTGGCGTGCCCTCCGCCCTGCCCCGTCTCCACCCTCCCAGTCCCTGTCCGCTCCGCCACTGACCGTGCCCTCAGGGCAGGGCTGCTCCTAAACTCTCTGCCACCCATCCCAGTCAGTGCTTCTCACAGAGCAGGGCTCAGTGTGTGGCAGGGGAGAACAGAGCCACCGCTCTTCACCTAAGCAGGCTGCACACAAGGTCACCATCAGTGAGCGTGGGTCATAGCAGAGACTGCAAGCGACCTATTCTGGTGCGAAGGATGATCTAGACCCCGTGTCCAGGCTCTTAGGTGGGCTTCTGCCGCTGTCCTCATGGGGACTGGGCGCAGGAAGCCAACCTGGACCTGCCTTTGGGACACACAACTCTCTTCACAGAGTGTTATGGCCGCAGGCACCGAGGCAGGGAACAATGGGAGCCAGGGCCACAGTCAAACAAGGAGTGTCGGGGTGTGGACATGACACTGGGGAGATGTGTGGATGACGTGTACATTCTATGTGTGTGCTGTCCGTAGGGGTATGTGTAGAATGTGTGTGTGTGCAGTGAGTGGTCCATGCGTGCAGAAGAGCAGATGGGGGGCTGTGTGGGAGCGTGGGTGTGAACAGTGGTGTTTACTGTGGGTCTGAGTAGAGCGGGGAAAGGTGTGTTCGGTGCATGGGTATGGGTGAGCGGATTCTCTGTGCATCCGAGCCTGTAAATGTGGATGTGTGGGGTGAGGGTGGGCTGTAGGGAAGCGCCTGGTAGGGGCGGTGCTGACAGAGATGAAAACTTGGAGGTAAATGAGCACAAGGCACGAAAGACCCCAAACTTCTACGGTCTGAACATCTGCATTCTCCCAAAATTCGTCCATTGAAACCTATGCAATAGCCTTATGAGTGAGGCTATCAGGAGATGGCTGGTCTGCAGGGCAGGGCACTGGTGAATGGGATTAACGTTTGTAGAGGAGTCTGAGGAAGCCTGTTTGTCCCTTCCACGTGACTGTAGAAGGCTCCATCTACCAGGAGACATGCCCCCACCAGACACTGCCTCCACAGCGATCTGGAACTTCCCAGCCCTGAGAATGATATGAGATACATTTCTGTTGTTTGTAAGTCACACTGTCTAGGGTGATTTATTAACAGCTGCTCAACCAGACAAACAGATGAGGACTGCCCCTCCTCCATAAATATCAACTGCAGGAACTCAGGGGGCTCTGGGCTTAGACCCTTAGACTACATTAGCTCCTGAGGACATGGGGAGTCTGACTCACAGCCTTACCCCAGGGCCCGGCCTTCCCTGAACACTGACTGGCTGGGTAACAAGGCTGAAGACAGCCAAGGCCAGGTGAGGAAGTTGCTAGAGAACCCCGCAGAGGCTGGGGCCCGAGAGGCAGGCTGCAGGGGTGTGGGCATGGCGGGCTTGGGCGCTTTCCTCTCCAGCCTGGTCCAGCAGCCCCACTCGGCCTCTCTGCCTGCCTGTCACAACAGTCACAGCCTCTACCCGTGGCCACAGCGCCAGTCAGCATGACCCTCTTGGGGTCAGGTGTGCGTCTGACAGAGCACGTAGGATCATGGTCGGTGTGCAGGGGTCTGAGCTGCACAGAGACTCTGAAACCCAGGGGTTGGAAGTGACCATGTTTACCTTCTGTTAAAGCCACTGCTTGGGCTCCAGGGCTTTCTGGGATTAAGTCAGGGGAGGCCGCATATGTACGGCGGGCAGATGCTTCCCGCCCTGTGGGGCCCAGCTGGGTCTGCTTTGTGTGTTTCACTTTTCCTCAGGGACCCCGAAGAGCAGCAGCCCAGCCTCCCTGCATGCCTCCAGGAGACACCACGGCAGCCCCAGACTCACGCCTGACCCCCACGAAAGCTGGCAGGGGGTAGACGGAGCTGTGCGGAGGGCACTCCAAAGGTAGAGGAGACCAAGTCCCCTAAGATGTAGGGTCTCCTTCATGTCACAGTGCTCTCCAACTCTTCCCACTGTGTCCCTTCCCACTCCCCTGCCACCCCTCCTTTTCTCCTGCCACGGCACCATCCACCTGTGGGGAGCCATCATGGTATCCGCATATTGCAGGCAGTGCTGGTGCTGGGGGCGGAAAGGACACCATACCAGGTCATGCTCCTCATGCGGTCCCCCGCACACACCGCAGCGCCCTGCCGCCGGGCTCTGTTCCCAGTGTTGCCCTGCCCAGACTGCTTCCCTTCGTGCCCTGCCCCCAAGTCCTCCTCACTCTCAAAGCTGGGCCACCTTCACCCCTGTGGCAGTCTGCTGAAACTCAGGATCTCCTTTTAATGTGCAATATCAATTACATGGGATTCCGAAGGAAACCACCTGGTGCCGTATTTAACTTCCAAATACTTAAAGATGCAAATATGTGACTCAGTGACACCTGGCTTTCCTTAGGACCACATTAAACAGCAAGAACCGGCAGTAGGTCTAGTACCCAGTGCGATTCCAAAGCAGTGATACATGCAAAGTTTGACCTGCAATGACAGGAGGAAATAGGAAAACACCTGTGATTTCTGTCAGCCAGAAAGCCATGGCACTGATGCCTACCACTGTCACTGAAGAGAGTGCTACACAGGAATTACAGGCCAGTGACAGGAAAAGCGCGATTTTCTCTAGCCCAAATCGCTACCTGCTGAATCCTATCCTCGGGCTACTTGGGGCGTGTGGCTCTGGGCTAGGCACAAGCTCAGATGCTCAGCCCTAAGCTCTCTGCTCTCCTTCCTGTGAATTCAGCCCCACCACTGGGGGCTTTGTGCTCCAAGCCTGAGGTGCCCTCCACAGTCCCAAGCACTTGTCAAGTCCAAGGCATGAGCCTAGGATGCTGAGATTAAATTTCTGCACCTCATATCCAAAGTAAGGCAAGATGCTAGGAACCATGCCTTCCCTCAGATACACTTCCACTGCAGGGGCCCAAGACTGGTCACTGCTGGGGCGGCCAGTGACTGACACTGTCCTGACGGCCCCGAGGGCATATCCCCTCCTTTCATGTGCTTTACAGCTCTGGGCATTCACTCCTTTCCCACTGGGCAGATGTATGGGTTCTCTGGTTGGCTGTTCCAACCCAGCCCAGGGCGAGCAGGTCCTAACCCAAGGCCGACAGCACCCAGAAGCCTCTTGTGGGCCTCCGCGGCTGAGGCACGCAGGGCCAGCACCAGGTGTGCCCTCACCTGCTTCACATTGTAACCGGTCTTTGCACTGGTCTCAATGAACATGACGCTCAGTTCTTTGGCACGCTGCTCCCCCTCCTCAATGGTTATCTGCCTGGAGAAGAGGGAAGAGGAAGTCAGTTCTCCAGAGGGACAGCTCCTGACAGAGGTGGAGGCCATAATGTGAGATGAGGAAAGACTGCCTCGCAGGACCTTGAACACAGGCTCAGACCCTGGAGTTCCTTTCCAGGGTTCCACCCGGTCTCCCCAGGAGGAACCGGCAGCAGGCACCGACACCCACCCTTCCCCCACTCCTCCCACAGTGGCTTCTGCACTAAGAGGCAGGCCTGGGGCCAGGCTAGGCCACACCTGCTTCCCCACACAGGAACGGCCTGTTACTGTACACGGCATCCAGCCACACTCCCTCTCTGGGTGATACCGTAGGTCCTCTTTGTCCAGTGCAAACGCCATGGTTAAAAGGAACTCCCCCATGCCGGGCATGGTGGCACATGCCTATAATCCCAGCACTCTGGGAAGCTGAGGCAGGAACATCACAAGTTCAAGCCCAGCCTGGGCAATTTAATGATTTAGCAAGACCCTGTCCCAAAATAAAAACATCTAAAAAGGGCTGGGAATGCAGTTCAATGCAGTTAGATTCAATTCAAACTACAAAAAAAAAAAAAAGGTAATGCCTCCGAGACCATAATGCTACTTAGCCAAGGAACTAGGATTTTTCCTTGCCTTAAGGGTGAGGTTCTCACAAAGCAGACCCTAACGAACTGCAGGGAGCTCGTGAGCTTTGTTCGCTTTATCTGCCCAAGTCAGAGTCCAGGAGAAAAGCAGACAAACACTGTAAGGGCTCCTCGGTCGGCTGTGTGTGGGAGGGACGCTTTGGAGAAGGCTCTTCCAAGGGAGCGTCACGCCCAGCAACAATCTGGGCTGTGAAGGCCAGGCACGGGGTTGTGTCCTGCAGCTGTTCCACAGGCTCACACCTGACACCAGGGTTCATACACACCGCACCCCAGAGTAGGCATTTTGGGGGGACAGGGGCATGAAACACAAGCAGAAGCTCCCGGGGTCAGAGTTTCTGCTTTCAGGTCTGTGCCAGGGTCACTGTGGAGCTGAGACCAGCACTGCTGGGCTGGGTCAGGCTCACAGGGCTCTGTGCAGACTGGTCCGTGCTCCGCTCCTGGGCAGTGAAAGATGGGGGTCTCAGAGATGAGACACCTACAGAGTGTGAAGGGGTCCCACCTGGTGTTCTCACAGCTCCTGTGGGCGGTGACAGGCAAGTAGTGCAGACTTGCTACCCATGCATCTAGAGCTGCTAGTCAGGGGCAAGTTATAGAGTAGAGGGAGCAGGGACAGCCAGGCCTCACAGCCCTGTGCCTCTTGTCCCAGCGCCTACCTCTTGTCTGCCAGGTCCGTCTTGTTGCCCACCAGCATGATGATGACATCACTGCCCCTCTCTGTCCTGACGTCATCAATCCACTTAGAGGTCTGCTGGAAGGAATTGAGATCTGGAGGCAGAAAGTAAGGATTAACTGCGAGTGAGGGCTGGCTCCAGAGGGGGACCAGGAGCAGCAGGGGTGGGAGAGCCTGTACTCTGACTCCCGGGACAGGGCAGCACTGCTCATGCAGAGCAGGCCTGCTGGGGCCTCAGAGGGAGTGGGGCTGCCCCACAGCCCTGAGAGCCCTCACACTGCCAGGCACCCTCTGGAGAAGGAGGCACTCCATCCGGAAGGTTTCTATGTCACAATTCTACTGAAATAGTGGCTTCAGAGGCTGACAGTGAGACCTGGCTGTGGAAGCTCAGAGCAGAGTGAAAATGAGTGCACCTGGCTGGGCTTGGACACGGGGGAACAAAACAAGGGACACAGCAGCTCCTAGACAAGCAGGCGCTCTACAGCGTAGTCTCCCCACAAATGGCAGGTTAGGGGAGCAGCTGCCCTCCAGGAGGCTGGTGAAGAGCTGTGAGGCCAGCTACAAATCACAGCTGTTTCTGCCCAGGGAGTAGCACCTACACACACACCTACACACACACACACTCACACACACACACACACACACACACACAAACACACACAGAGCAAGGACAAGGCAGGGGCAGAGAGGCTGGAGCCAGGCCAGCTTCAGCAACTCACCATCTCTGGCCCCAAGCTTTTGGGAACACACATGTGTGCACGTACACATAGATGCCTGCCTGGCCAGTGTTGCACCTGGGTCCCTCGATCCCCTGACAGCGACCTTCCTTCAAGCATAGACCCTCGTCACTCACTTGTGATGTCATACACCACTACAGCCACCGTGGAGTCCCGGATATAGCTGGGGATCAGGCTGCGGAACCTTTCCTGGCCAGCTGTGTCCCACAGCTGCAGTCGAACCTGCAGGGCCAGGGGAGAGGGGTCAGTGAGTGCCCCCTGGTGGAGAGGGCTGGGGAAACAGCTCTACGATGCTGGCACCACAAGCTCCAGCCCCCAGGCTTGGCATAGATTTTCTGGGGTGCCCAGCTAAGGGTCCCAAGAAATAAGCCCAATGGAGCCCCCCTCATACTCCCTATTCTAAAATCAAGTGCTCACCGTACGATCCTCTAAGTACATGGTTTTTGATAAGAAGTCAATCCCAATGGTTGCCTGTTAGAGAAAAATACAAAAAGTCAAAACTGGAAAGTTTTGCAAAGCAAGAGAGCAAAATCTCAGCGGTCCCAGGCAGTGGTGTAAACCAGCAAGAAGGGACACCCATACCAAGTCCAGGGCAGGCTCTGTACCCAGTGCTCCTCTCAGATGAAGGCAGCCTGAACTAACCAAGGATAAGAGCAGTGTTTTAGAGAGGGACATGCTTTGGAGTGGAAGAGAGAAATGAAAAGGGGTGACAGGGCCTGGGCTACAGAGGTGAGGACCCATCCAGAATCTCCTAGAACTCCCAAACCCTCTCCTCTGAGTCCTAGAACACAGGTGCGGGCTCACCACTGTACCAAGAAGGATTTGTCACTGTAGGGGGACACGGAGCAGATGGCAGCCTCTGGTGACAGCATAGCAGACTATGCCAAACAGCATCTTGCTGGACGCCCCACTGGCTCTCTTCCCCCTAAGCCACACTGGGAGCTAACTGTCACCAGCATTCCCGAGCCACACCTGTGCCTCTTCTGTCCTGGCACCTGGGAGAGGCAGCCAGCCTTCCAACTGGACAGCGGGGACCCACCACCCCCTCGCTGTGTGGCCTTGGCCAGGCCCCCCAACCTTGACAGGGCTCATGCAGTGCCACGAGTAGGAGCTGTGTTTCACACTGTCAGAGTGAAACAGAGATGACACTGCTGTGCAATGAACAACCAAAAGACTCTGCCTCAGCCCGACTGTCTAGGGCAGTGATTAGCTACCGCGTGGTCTTGCACATGGTCAGAATCCCTGAAAGCCACTCAAAACCATGTTCTTGCAAAGAATTTAAGGATTTGGGGAAACAGTCATTGAGTAAAAAAAAAAAAAATACTATAAGACATCTTGTGTGGTGTGATTCCAAATTCCTTAACTGAAGTAGGTATATGAGTATTTTCATATTTTCTCCAATATTAAAGTATTAGGATACACTTTGTACCAGTGTCTGAATAGTGACACTATGGGCAATTTTCTGTTCCCTTCATTATACATTTTTGTATTTCTTACCATGAAAATACACTCCTAATATTAGAAAGAAAGGTCTTTTAAACAAAAATACAGAATAAATAAAGTTTCAAAGAACAGAAAACTGTGGAATAAATTCTAACTATGAAAAATAAAACCAAGGGAAGCCCATGGAAACAGAAAAGCTCAGGTCTCCAGGGCCCCAGGTGGAATGCGTAAGTGTGCACCATGCATATGTGTGCGTGTGTGCATGCACACGTGTGCACAGGCCTGCACACTAACAAAATCATATGCTCAACTCATGTTTGGTAAAACACTGAGCATGCTTTACCCTCCTGGAATTCTGTTTTAATACAAGGTTATGGACAGTTGTTCTACATGCTGGAACACAGAACCCTGGAATGTGGGCACTGGGCACACACCTTCGACACAACCCAACGCAACCCAAACCAACCCAATCACTTTGGAGACAAAGTAATAGACCTGGGAAGTTGAAAGGACAAGCTTAGTGTGACCCTGTCAATCTGTGACAGAGCTGGCAGGGTCAGTGCTGAAAGTTAGTACTTGGGCTCTTTCTAGCCTGGCTGTGCACTGTCCTGCCTGGCAGAGTCACCAGGGAACAAGTCTGGAACTTGGTGCTGTGCTTGTGTTGTGTGTGCAGACACAGCCTCACTTCTAAGCACTCACATACTTTCTTTCATTGGTGGATCTTGACTGGCAGTCTTGTCTTCTCACACCCCTAAGAATATGTGCAGAGCAGCAAAGATATCTCAACTCATCAATGGTGGATCTGTGGACTGACGCTTGAGCCAAGACCACATTCATAGGCTCAGGACTGGAGGCAGAGACTGCCAGATGCCTTCAATATAAAATTTCAGATGTGTAAAAGAGCTCATGGTTGTGACAGGCTCTATTTGTCAGCTTCCTTTGCTGCTGGGTGGCTAAGTTCTGGTCAAAGGATGTGCACATCTTCTGGGATGGGCCTTCTGGGGGTGAATGTGCCCACAGCTGCCTCCTTTGGCTGCATTCTCCAAAGGTAGACAAGGATGACAGAGGAGTGATGACAGACTGACAGAGCCCGGTTCCTTCATCCTGACAGGCTACCTCAGAAGCATCAGACTGCTTACACCCAGATGTGACAGACTCCATCCTCTGTTTAAGTCACTGTCATTTTGAGTTTCTGTTAACACAGCCTATTTATGTCCTAACTAATAACAAAGACCCACGGAGAATCCTGTTCCTCGAAGGTCAGCACCTGGGTGGTGACAGAGCTCCTATGGATAACTGTAACCATGACAACCCCGTTTCACTTCTGCCTCCATGGGGTCAGAGAAGCCACCAGATGACAAGAAATTATGCCAATGGATCAAAGCCCAGCAAAGCGCAGTCCAGCTGCCTCTAATGAAAAACGGCATCTACTTCACACTCACACATCACATCTCTATTACATCTTTGGTGTTTTTTTTTTTTCCCAGTCCAGGGAATCGAATTCACGACCTTGCGCTTGCCAGGCAGGAGCTGTGCCCCTGAGCTAAATCCCCAGCCCTCTATTACATCTCATTACATAGGCTGACCAAAGAGGCGGCAATAGGAAACCAAGGTTAGAAGAGGCCAGCTTCTAATTTCTCCAGCTTCCTCTTACCTTTTTGTCCACTTCCAAGTTGCTGCATTACAGAAACCTCTGCTTCCTGTACTGTCTCTCAGATCTGTTCTGGCCACCTTCGCTGCCCATCAAGGCCATGGAGCCACTTCAGTTGGCCCACAGCTGGGTAGACTGGTACCAAAGTACAGCCACCGTCTCTGTACCACAGAGCATCAGCTCTGCTTGACATATTATTCAGTTTTGCTGTCAATAAAGGCTGAGCAGATTGTATCTACCTATGAAACTTCTAACTTATGAAAAGCACTATAACAATCTGCAAGCACGGGAGGTGACCCAAAGCAGGTAGACAATGGAGGAGTTGCTATCTCTGAAGGAAGAGAACTACACAGATCCCACATGTGAGCAGTTTTCCCCTGAAGGGTCTACCCAGTCCTACCAAGTTCAATGTGCACTTGGCAGACACCTCGCAGAAGGGCTGGCTTTGGAAGGAAGACATGTCTCCACAATGTTACACCTGAGGGCCAAGGAAAAACCTGAAAGCCCATTTTCACAAAGTCTCAGAGTGATACAGTACTCAGTCTTAAAAAGGACTAGCTGTTTACAATTAATTGCCTATTAAAATAAAACAACACTCTTCAGAGGAAGGCGACAGAATCTGAAAGTTTCTACAACTTACTATTCACAATGTCCACTGAGATAAGTGAAGAAGAAATCTGAGCCACAATCAAGAAAAAAAAGACTCAACAGAAACAGACCCCTAGATGACCCAAATGTGGGATTAGCAGAGAAAGACTTTGAAGTAACTCTTATACATGTATTTTAGAATAAAATAAAAAGTAGATATGAAGAGTGACATTCAGGAAACATGTTCCTGAGTGTGACAACTCTACAATGAACACAGAGAGGTGGGGACAGCCAGAAACAAGAGATTACTTAGTTTGTATTCTAAATATTTCCTTCCACTTGGCCCCTTCCATCCTTACCATCACTGCCCTAGTTCAGACTTGAACCCCTTTTCCAGAATGACTTCAACAGCTTCCTCGCTGGCCTCTTCCCTCAGGCTCTTCTTTGTGACTACTCTTTCCTTCAACAGCCAGGGTTATTTCTGTGAAATATAAATCTGACTACTCCCTGCTGCCCCTGAGAAATAGTGTAAATATTTTAGGCTGGCTTACTAAGATATACAGGCCTACCCCTTTGTTCTAGAACCTCATTTATCCTTGGCCAGCTTGACTTTATACTTTAGAAAGAACACTTCAGTTTGAACTTCCAAGTCACGTTGTATGCCTTTTCTAATGCTGTTCCCTCCCCTAGAATGCTCTTCTACATGGTTAATACTGATTTGGAATCTGAGTCTCAGCTCCTCCACAAGTCACATTCTCAACCCTCAGATCGTTCCCAGGGTCCCTTATCTAACACCTCCTGTCCTAAATTGGAAAGAGCTCACACTGGCTGGTCTCAGCCACTGGTCTGTGACTCAGTGATTCTCAACCTGTAGCCTGTGGATCCTGTGCACGGAGCTGCACCAAGCTGTCACTGCACTTGCCCTCAGATCACGTTGTGTTTGGATCCCTCGAGTTAGAATATGGCAGTCATTAGCCAAAACAGCTCAGCAGAGCCCACTTAAGAGGAAGTTTATTTGTTTTTCAGCAGAAAAAAAATAAGCTCTCTAACAAAAGAATACAAGCAAGAACTTTTAATAAAAACGGCTTGGCTGAGTCTTGATTATCAGAACATTTCTAGCCCCTAGGCATCATCTGTTTTCCCAAACATGAGACACAAGCAGCCGGACCCACTATTTTGCTGGCCAGAGCCCATCTCTCCAGGAAGGTCAGCTCTGCAGAGGGAATGTGGTCTCCCCAGTTCCTTCATGGCAGACAGTGTCAATAATGGAGACTCACTAACTCTCAAGTGCCTTCCATGTGCTAGAATAAGCTCTGGCTCCTGTTCATCAGATTTTTACTTCCAGCCGTATGGAGAAATTAAGACACGGAACTGTGGTCACCGGAAGATGGAGAAGCCGGTGTTGTTAGCAGCCCTCGAGGGTCCCGCAGAGGGAGATGGCTCTTGACTGACTTTTTTTTTTGTTTTGTTTTGTTTTGGTTTTGGTTTTTCTCCGGTACCGGGAACCGAACTCACGACCTTGCGCTTGCCAGGCAGGCGCTTTTGCCACTGAGCTAAATCCCCAGCCCCTTGACTGACTTTTTGAAGAATGATGGGGTAAACACACAAGTCTTTAAATGCAGAATACCCGTGTCAAAGGTGAGGACGGGCAAGCAGTATGAACATCTCAGGTGGAGGGGTATGGAAACTCTGATTTCTTTGAGGCAGAGCCTCTCTTGCAGATTACTATTACAAACCCTGAACAAAATGTAGCAAACTCTCTGAGAGCACTGGAAAATGCCTCCTGCGA